ACCACTGCGCTCACGGTGCGTGAAGATTTCTACAATTATATTATACGCCGCTCCCGCCCCCACTCCCGCCTCCTGCTGCCCGCACCCCCCCGCACCCCTCGACGCGCATAGAAAGCCGGTTTCTTCAAGCGAACACATTTTTTGCTATGAAGGTTTTATCTCTATGATATTTTATACAGAGTTATTGCAGTACGCCGTCGACTCCAACTGCCCGTAACTTGGACTCTGTTTGTTCCATACATATTGTAAATTATTCATTTTCATTCAATCAAATTATAAAGTTAGGTTTTTTAATTAAGAGTTTTATAATAAAGTGTTATATGAATGTAGGTAATTAAATTTCAATTGTAAGTGAATGCTTACTGTGTAAATTTAAATAATAAATTTACTTGTTTATTATACTTAACTGCTATTCACAAATGGTGTTAAATAATAAATGTTAACATTGTCGATATTGTATAATACTTGCTGTATCATACAAACAAATTCTTCAGCTTTATTATTAGTATAGATATCTTGTAAATTATCAGCATCAAAGTTAAAGATTAAACTATAATCTTTATTTTGTAAATATAAGAGCGAGATTATGTTGAAAACACGTACTTTTTCTTTTTTCTTGCAAATTTTTAATGCAAATCATTTGAGTAGTAATAAGAATATTAACAATTAATAGCTTTTTAAAAATAGACATCTCTAAGAGCAAATGTAAAATGCATGTCATCAATGTATAGGTTTTTTAATGTTATTTTAACTTGTTTAAAGCAAGTACGAATATTGAATTGAATAACCGTGACGCACACAGTGTGTCGACACGGATACTTTCCCTTCGTGTTTGCGAACAATCAATGTTATTCCACTAATCCTAAAGTGGTGGAAGGCGGCGTCACCAAAGTGGATCACTTTACGCGACACCACCCACCACTTGACAAAAGGTTTTTAATTTACTTTTTTGACGGTCTCGTCGCCGTCGACTACCGACGAGGGCTTTTTGTCGTGAACTTCTTAAATCGATTACTTTTTGTGTGCCGAGAAATCGATAGACACCGGTAAAAAGCGATGTTTCTCAAGAGATGGCCGATTCAATGACACGCTCGAGAGATGGGAACCGTTATGATTTGGTCTGATGGTGCACTTTTTGCTCTCGGCTAACCACAATAGTTAGGTTATTATTCGAGATAGTGCCTTTAAATGTGATCGTGAATATCGATTATACGTAATGGGGTTTGTTTAAAAAATATATATTAAAGAGTGGCGGGACATCGAAACAGTTACTTGGATGTGCCAACTTAATGGCTTAGGTGCAATTCACGTACTTGTACTATTGGAAATGATTGATATCATTTTGAAATTTGGTCATAATTTAGATGCATTTTGGAAAGGAAGTCGTAACAAAACGCGAAATATGTTTTTGCATAGACAAACGACTGGATAATAAACAAAAATAGTTTTAATTAGTGACATATAAAGGGATACGTCATTTCACCATTATTTGTGAAACACATGTAGATAGGTTTAACGACCTCCGTAGCCAAGTGGTTCGCACGCCGCTTTCAAGGTGCCGCTATTTCTGAGGTCCCAAGTTCGATTAACGGTCGGGTCAATGTAGAAAATGAAATTTTCTATATTCGTCTCGGGTCTGGGTGTTGTGGTATGCACCTTCGTGGTCTCAGAGACTCCATATTACGGGGGCTTAGCTACTTATATTGGAATTTCATATATGTAATGTCGTCTAAGATTCTAATTAATATATTATGCAGATAGTTGTATTTAATTTGTATAATTAACTCAAATATTTATCTTTGATGTAGGTATTATACTTTTGTCGCTCAAGTAAAATAGTATACATCTTTATATTATGGACTATTTGAATCGACGAAGATACATATAACAACATCTAAACCAACCGAGCATCGAACACGGGACAATATGTATAGACTGGACGTGAAAATATGTAAGATTAACGTAGAGGACCAATGATCTGCACTCTCCAACTACATTATTGGCCGCAGAAATAAATGCAAATAAATCAGTTCTAAATATGTGTACCTCAGCACCAAAACAGCTTTCTTCGTCTTTCACTCAACACTCTCAAAGAAACAAGTAAGTAGACAGTCTGTACAAATATCCTAATTATTAAAAATATTCTTATTATTTACAATAAATATCATGCACAACTAACGTATGAAAAGCAAGGAAAATAACGATATTTGCCGCTTCATTAATCACCTTCTATTAAAATGATTTAACAGCCAAATATTTTTTAGCTTTCTTTTAACATTCTTTCTTCACTGTTTTGAGAGTTTCACTTCAGAGTTTCTTGCCGGTTCTTATCGGTACAAGGTCTCCCGCCGTAGATTTACGAACCGATGGCATATCTCTCGACTTTCACAAGTGCTTGTAACAGCCTAGACTGAATAAATAATTTTTATTTTGTTACAAGGTTACTCATCCTCTAGGCATGAATTTGATATTATATTTTGTTATATATCGTATATTGTTGATATTATTATGATTAGTTAAAACAGGAGAACGTCTATTGTCTTTATCTGAATATCCATTAAAAAACCTATTCATTCTCAGTACTTGCATGAAATACATACTTAAACATATATTTATTAAATACTTGTATATTTATTGACTACACATGAAGTGTAACAGTAATTTATTGCTGTTTCAAAATCAGTTAGCAGAAGCTTCACTATAATAGGAAGGTGATTATTTAACCGTAATTGGTGCGCTATTAATTATATTGTCTGTGACAAGAGCGATAAATAAGGAAGGGAACACACGGCAAAAGTCCCATCTAGAAAGCTCCCTGGCTACATAATGAAACTCAGTTCTACGCACAAGTTGGTAGCACACTGGTGCTACGAATATATGTATTTTGCGGACGCTGTCTTATAGACCATTTATATGATTGTCGAAAGACTCACAATATGATGTACGATGTGAATTATAAAATGTAATTAATAATAATAATTTTATTTGTCCAGTGACAATTTTTGTCATAATCCTTAAATAATATAAGACGGGAGGTCTTATGCATATCGTCTTTCACACCCAATCCTTCTAATATTCGGTCTTCCTCTCGTTATATTCATGCTCATATATTTTTTTACACGAAAATAACTTTTTTTCGTATGTCAACAGTCGTCTAATCACATTCACTAACAACATAATATATATAAGGTGCTACTTCAAACTTTCCACCTTTCAATTGGACAAAAGATTGTAGGTGTTTCATTTACATATGTAAGTATAATAATGGTGGTGCCCGGTGTGTTACCCGCCTTCAACAAGCACTGTTAGACCAATCGACACGTGTTCACCAGTGGGCTTAGTCGATAAGCTGATTTATCGCCGGTGCCACCGCGTCGACAACTCGATACGTTACATCGACGATTGTCGACTTACATCGATCAATAATTTCAAAGCTGCGGCCGTTGATTTTCGCTAATTAACCCTTTTTGGACTGTGGACTGCTTGTGACAGATTGAAATCTTCTGTGATGATTTATTGTTCCGTAATGTGTGTTATGATTTTCATTCACGTGTGCCTGTGATGAATGATTCATTGATACGTTGTGTGATACGTCAGTATTTGTATTGTAGAGACTCCATTAGAACGGCTCCACGAGATAGAACCGCTACTCATATTTTATGTCAATCATTAACTGTAATGTTATTATTTAAATTACGGGTGGAGGCTTTCACATGTGAAAGGAAATGGTCTTATATCCGCTGGCTGTTCAATAATCTATCAATATTTTTTTAGCTATATTTAGCAATCTTCACAAGTTTCTTTAATGGATTTTTAAAAACAATTAGACGCAATGAATCATAAAACTAGTATTGTAACCTGTAACGTCTACAAAATTACTTCTATTCGTAAGGCTATGCAGCTTAAGAGTTAATGCACATATGACGGAACTTTTGTTGCAGAATATTTGAACTGACAACAAATAAATTCAACCTTGTAACTTGCCGAATGTTCGACCAATTTTAAAACATTCTAACGCATACATCAAAGAGCCCTCGACGGATCTTCTACCACATTTGCGTCGTACCTAATGGAAAGCACACACAATAGAAGTATTATAAACTGTCATGAAAATTACATCTTATTAGCTGTTGACCTATTTTATTCCCGTATGATGAACTTTCCCGTAAGTGAAGATTTTTTAAAATCGGTCCAGCGCTAGCGAGGCCTAATGTATGCAAACAAACAAATAATCAAATCTTTTCTCTTTAAAAATTAATATAGAACTACATTTGTACATACAGCAGTACGTCAGGTTATCACAATATATTAATTTCAACCCTTACCTTGAGGTCAAGTAAAGAATTAAACAGATTTGTTGAGTTTGACGGCTCATTATAGAATTCAGTATCACACGTCCCACAAAGGGTTTGATGTACCTTTAGCTTAAGTCGTATAATGTGCACAGAACATGTAAAAAAAATTGGCGAAATGCGTATTTTTGCGTGGTTAGGATAAGAAGGCATTGAAGTCGTGGCCGATAAAAACATTTACAAAATATTTATTCTAAATTCAACAATGGACAGAAATAAAGTAAACAACCAAAATTAATCAAATAACATTTATATGTTTCACGTAGTGGATGTAGGTGTGTGTGTGTGGCACGCACATACACAATGAATTTCTAGTCGGTGTCAGCATATGAGGCGCTTCCGCTTCCAAAGTGGCCACAGCTCCCAGACGGCGGTGGTGGTCCCAGGGGACCCTCCGATATAGCGAACAATGAATGGATACCGCACGTTCAATACGACGGACGCACCGACCGATGTGCTGTTGCTTCTCCATAAATATGGCTTACCACTGCATGTTATATGGATTCACGCGGAATTATATTGTCACAATTTTTTGATATAGAAAAGTGAAACGAGGGTAAAATTATAGGCCAATAGGTAGGCATTTGCAATTATAAATAGAGAAGTGAAGAAATAATACACATATCTGGTTAATTTACTCATGCGTTTTTATATAAGATGATCAGTGCAGTGTGCTTGGCATAGTGTGTAGCAGGCCTTCTTAATCCAGTCCTTATTTCTGGTGACGCCGGTGTACACGTTGACGCCGTGCACCACGTGGGACAGCACGCCACACAACGTCTTCTTCGTAGACTTCAGCACCAGCCCGTCGCCGGAATCATCACTGACATGTACATATCTATATACTGTATCTGTATCTCAATGTCAATATCTGATGTTCACGCTTTAATTAAGCAAGTCTCGTCGAGGTCCACCATCCGATGGGTGAATATAAATTATTATCAAATTATAGCTTCTCCAGTTGAGGAAGATACGTTAAGCTAAGCGGCTTTTACAGTCGTTAATACTCAACAATCTGCACCGATAACAATATCTTAAGGCTCATTTAATATTAACGGCACGTTTAATAAATCAATATCCCGAACGTGTAATGCACGGTAAGTGCAATGTTGATGACTGACTGACATGTGCATGTGTCCCATGACCGGTACGGTGCACAGCACGCTTGCGGTGACGCGGTACTGCGAGTCGTTGGCGCACGTCATCCTGTTCACCACACGTTGCTTAGATGCCTGCAAGCTGCGGAGCATCGGCTGCGTCGGCGTCTTGTACTTATTGATCTGCAATTATTCCTTAAAAGTATTATTCCCTATTCAAATTAATAAAAATATATCAGAATATGTTCTGTTCCGAATGGTTTGTTTATTACATTAGAGCGTCATTAATGCAAAAATATATAATATAGAGAATCTTATTAATTATATTTACGTTTTGTCTGCCCCATCCGACGGAAAATACGATGCTGTCCGATGGTGGATTAATGTTGGCCAGGGATATCCTCTGAATCGTGGCCGACAGAGCCACGCGGCTATTAAAAAATGCGACAGCTATATTGAGACTACCGCGTCGTTCGTTATACTCGGGGTGTATCATGTAGCCGACCACCTGTTTAACCACTGTCGCCATTCTCGGAACAAGGGCACCCAAGTAGGCATGCATCGCGCCCCTCTCATATCTCAGCTCGTCGACGCAGTGGGCCGCCGTCAACACAGCCTGCGTTGTCACCAAAGATGACCCGCACGATGACGGCCTGGTACCATGAAAATGTAGGAATACTGCGTGAGGGTATTTCTGAATTTCAGCATCGTAGCCGTAGTATATGCGTCTTCCTGATGCCAAATGTGCTGCACTGTCTCCGGGGCTACTCGCTTTAAAATACAGTAGCAATAGAGAAAACGATATGAACATTATCAGTAGACTTAATTAAACCAAGTTTTATTGGATCGACTGACAGACCTGAAATATGAAAGTTTAATCAATATTCGCAGTGGATTTTCCTCATTTCATTAGTTCTAGAATAAATTTATGATTTTGTCCATTAAATTGCACGATGATTGAACAATGACTCACCTTTTGTTCTGTTCCGATACAGATTCATAAATAAACTAGATGTGTTAAATGAACTTAACGTTATTGTAAACTAACAATGAGACAATAAACAATTAAAAACTTTAATTATTACGTTACGTTGCTGCAGACCTGACCGCAATAGCTCGTGCTGGCAAATTTACTCATTTATCATCGACACAAACATTGCCTGATATATTATCCCAGCATCATGAAGAGGATTTACGACATTTACAAATAAATACTGGAAATAGAAGAATATTAATTTGATGATGAAATTGAAAGAAAGCATTTAACATTTGGAAAAGGCGACAACAAAACAAACAAAAAATATTTAGATGAGAAAATCTTCTTTGTACAAGTACCAACAAAACCATTCAACGTATCAAGTGCAATTTACCAATATCCAAAGAACTAAAAGATTAAATGTAACACAAAAGAGTTTTATGTTCGATATTTTGAAGTTTTACATGATCTCGTAATATTAATTGTAATATTCTAAATAAAGTGTTAATTATTTCACAATAACATTAAAAACGTTATCAATCTTACCGTAATGATTATAATGTAAATAAACCTGCAATAGTTTAAATTAAAACATATTATATTTTATCAATTTTCATTCGCAATGTTATTTTGAATAATATTTTTAATGAAAAATGTTTAAAAAATCCACTTTGTCCCTGGCGCTCTCAGATGGGACTCAAACCCATGACAATAAGTAAAAGACGATAAGTGCCTGAAAAACTCATCAGTCCTGTTTGGTTCTGCGTCAGATCAGTCATTAGAGCAGTCGCCAAGATTGCGAAAGGTCTATTTTTTATTAAAAATATCACAAATATATTAAAACCACGAATTCAATAAATATTAATGATATTAATTATTTATAAAAAGCATTTCTACTTACGTCTATTTAACCCCATCCAGCTATTGAAGATTCTTTACATTTTGGAGGGTTTCTTATTATGGCCAGTCGTTGTTTGGATTTACTCAAACGCAATGAATGTTACAATGACATTAATCTATGTCATTTGGTGGTAATTTAATGTCGCGATGTTCATGCATCTTGATTTTTCTTATTAAACGTTCCTCTCTTCTAAATCTGTTCGTGTAGTATTTCAGGATTGAGGCTCCGCAGATCCAAATTAATGAGTTCATGTTCATACGTGTTCCCCATGTATATTTCAAATATGCTGAGTGAGCGGGAGGTTTGAAATTTCATTATATTATATGAATTAACTATGTACCTACTACTTAACAGTCTACAATTTAAAGTGGTCTGGCTATCATAAAGTGGTTTTCCAATTTTTTACTATATCGCTCACATGAAGGATATATTTTAGTTGATGCAATATGGTTTTAATTGCCGATTGATCGCTTGTGTGGTGTGATTTTATACGGTCCAACGGTTTATACGTCTGATATGAGCACTGCCTTCTACTACCTTTCTGTACCTACTGACCTAAATTACTAAATGAATCGAGTTGAAAATGAACTTAGTCGATAAATTTGTTTGCTGATAACTCTATAAATATGACCTAATACTCTCTCTCTCACGATCTTCGGAGACCGTGGACATAGTGAGATTAGTTAATTTATTAGACTAATTAGATTATTTATTATTTGTGATCAGCATATTCGGCAGCGACTTTTATATAAAGGAATAGTTATTTACGTAAAGGTTACGAATGCATTCAGAGAGATATTCGGGCACCTCGATAATATCATAATATTTGTGACATAGTAAAGAAGAGGCGAAATTTTATTCAGGTCTAGACAGCGATTCGGTAAAAATCCGAATCCGAATTCATTCGAATTCAGTGAAGAAATTCTATGGATTCCATTTTTTATAAAAATATAAAACAAAATATTGATCAATTATACGTTTTTCATATATTTTATTTCCTATATTATTCCGAAAATCACATCACTTATGCCACGAAACGTTATCACCGATTCAATAATGAGCGGATGCCGCTTTTTGAAGTGGCTTCGGACACCTGAGGGAATTCGAATTCGAGCCTGGATTTTTACAGAACCGCGGGGCAGGACTCGTTTCTGTTAACGAAGTCCGATTACTCTTTGGGTAGATAGATAGATAACTCTTTATTGATAACACTAAATACAGAACATACATAGAGCAAAAAACAATATTATATACAGCGATATCTTCCAGACAACCTTTGGAAGGAGAGATGAACTGTCTTTAAAGTACGGGGGTGTATAATAATCTTATGATTACAATATATATTAGGGTATTTGTTGATCAAGATAATTGTGAATGACTTATTAGGGCTAACTATTTTATTTAGTACAAATAAAACATTTGACAATTATATGATATGTACCTTTGGTATGAAAACTGAGCAGCCCTATTTTTTGACCATTGTTCAAGGTTAGTTGAAGATTGACTACTGTGTGTCACTTAGATACAAAAATATATTATTTGTGCATTGTTAGAATTTATGTTCGAAAACCTTGCATTTGATAATAATGTATTATCAAATGTAAGGTTTTATCTTTTATACATAAAATTTTTATATATCAAATGTAACATTTGATAATACGTTACATAAAAGATAGTTTAAACAGCGATATGTGTTGTTGTTTATGTATGTGTGTAGTACCTAAACTGAATAGCGGCAGCGTTGAGTTGCCCGTTAGGTCGTACGCTAATCCGAAGTATTTTACCCGTTTGTTTTTTTTACACTGGTTAAGTGTTTTTATAGAACTTTCTAATTGTGTAAACAGTAATTTTTATACCCAATTATCTAACTAATCCATAAGCAAACTGTGGTTTTATATTTGTTAATATTAATATGTTAGTAAAGTAGTGCACGGACAAACCTTTCTGGTTTTTGCTGCACTAAGTGATACGATTGATATGTAATTATTATTCATCAATAAATAAAAAAAAAACAACGTGTATGTGTGTATGTGTAGAAGCAACGTATATTGAAGATAATAAAATAGCGAAAAACTAAGGTTTTTTTTTCATTATTATTATATTCTGAAGACGAAATATACCTTGTTTTTTATTTATATCGAATTTCGATTTGGGGGGTGTCAGCTAGTCTAATGGTCAGTTGCACAAACGTCCTTTAAAATTTAATGAATCTCCGAAATTGAAAATTAATGTGTCATTAAAAAAATGACAAATTTAATAGACGTTATTAGATAAAAGAATAGCTAGATGCAGCTAGACAACGTGAGTCTGATAAGTTCACATTGCTATAATTATTGCTTGTACCTTTTTAATTTAATAATAATTAAAAAAACAACTAACCAACAACAAGTTTTGGTAAAAATATAGCGACGGAAACAGCGTTGAACACTGCATTAGAGGTTTAATCAAGTATCATCAAAATATATTTATGAAAGTATAATTTGATTGAAGTTCTTCAATAGCGATGTGTTCAACGCTGTATTTTTCAGAATACCAAAGTAGTTGCAAATTTTCTGTCAGTACTGTATGGGACGTACTAGTGAAACAAACTCAGACATATATTAATTTATACAGAGAGAAACAACAGTGAATTTATTCTTTTCAGTACGAGTATGTGATATGGGGTGACATTTTATGTAGCTAAGTTTTGTTCTAGGCCGGTGTAGTATACGCCAACCTTCATCTCTGTTGAAATTACGATGATGATTCGTCAAATATTATGTAGTGCTTGAGTCTTCATATATATTTTCGAGGCCATGTGTATGTAGCTGATATAATTTAACATACGTAACATAAAACTTACATTAGATTGTTTTCAACTGACATTTAATACCAATGCATTGCTGCCTAAATTGGCGAAACATGAGGATATTGTAAAAGTTTAATACATTTATACCATGTTCAAGACAAATGAACAATTATGAAGTACATTTAATAAATTATAACGGAAAATAAGTGTAAAATAAAAAAGTCGACTTATATACTTTTCATACAAAACATATTTCTTGTAGTGGATCTAATCCAGTCGTAGAAATATCGGACCTCTGTGTATATGACGAGGCTTTTGGATAATTTCGGTACCTTGTAGGAGACTATGCCCACCTGGATGAAGCCTCGGACTACGAGCGCGCCGCCGGAGTCGCCCCTTGTGATCAACAAACAATAAGGAACATTTACACTTATATCAGTTTTGAATATGGATATTGTTAACGGGAGACGAATAATTGGTTCAAAACAAAATTTGAGTCAATTTTCTCAAAACGAAAGAAATAATAATTCCAATCTGTCTGTGCATATTTTCGTGAACACATTTCGATATAACGAAGACGTTTAGGAAACTGAAAATACTCTAATGCTATAACGTAAAGCGTGTTCACCATTAACCATTGTGGTTAAGCGACAATAACACCACTATAATTACTTATTACAGAGTAAATAATGGCAAAAGATTAAATAACTGATGCGGAAGTTGTGCAACTTTCGCTAGAGCCGATAATAGGATGGGTGACTGTAAAATTACTATTTCGAGCTCCTCGGTATCTTACATTAAAGCCCGGCTGCATCCGCCACCGCTAACACTCACCAACCCGCACTGAGCCGTTCTCTCTATTTGATGCTGTGTCTTTGGAATAAGGACATTAATAGCTTGATATCTATATGTAAAGTCAACTCACGAAGCAGCAAAGTTAGTTTGTGCGTTCCTCAATCCACCGCAGATGGTCCCCACGGGCACATGTCTCAACATCTTGGCGCACTCGTCGCGAGACCACAACGATTGTTGGACGTACTTCAACCGCTTCGTGCCGATGTGTTTATTGTCCTTGTAACATAAAATCAATAAACAGTAAAACAAGTTGTCTCCATGAATCGACAGGGACTTCATTTCGAAAACAAATCACGGTGACATCATTTGTGTTGGATTCTACAAAAAAGCGTGTCATCGTAAATAATAATATGTATAACTGTTTCCCTCAATTGAATAACAGTGAATATACGTAGATTGTACTCACGTCGACGACCCCCCACCCGGCTACGTAAGCGGGTTCATTATATGGCGGGTTTCTACTAATGGCTACTCTTTTAACATTTTTGTTGAACTTGATGGGCGTTTTCAGCCTCACGAGCGCTATGTCGTTTACCATCGTGAAACCGTCGTAACGTTCGTGTATCTTACAGGAGGCTGCCGTTGACAGCACTCCCCTGTCTATGTGTTCGTTCCCGATCGAAACGACGACCTTGCTGTTTTTGCCGCAGTCTTCTAAACAGTGACCGGCGGTGAGGACGAAGTACTGATTGAGCACGGAGCCTGCGCAAATGAATTCATCGATCGAATTTTGACGAGCACAAGATATGGACAGGTACACTGAATGTGGAAAATTATATATCGGAGCGAAGTCCCCTCCGACGATGTACCCTTCCATGTCAGCTTGCACTCTAACATCAGATACATTTAAAAGTATTCCTATGTAAACTAATATTTTTACAAGAGCCATCGTGAACGTATGGCTTTTTCCGGATGGAGACATCGACTCATTTGATTTAATGATTTGATAGCGCAGTTTTATGAAGAAAATTAAATTAGCTTCACAAGCGGAATGATTTTTAATTTTAAAGTAGCGTGCTGTATTTTTTTTCCAACAGTAATTGAGCACTTGTAGTTCTACGGCCGTCATGTAGGTTAATTCTGCTAATGTTTAAGTAACAATTTGCTTTTGTACAGATTTGTTTACACGACTTAACTGTAAGACTCCACTTTGAACGACACCACTCCTATTTGTAAGTAAGCAAGTGCTACTAACGCGCTGTTCCCTCTGAAACATAGGAAAGAAAAACAAATTAAGTGATTACCAAAATTACTTTCCTAGAAAGGCGGTTGAAAATTCTGGAAACGTCTCTTCAAACTGAAGGGAGGCTTCTATACTTCATACTTTAGGTTTATACAACGAAGTCAACAGAGATGATTATTATGAGTTCATCTGATCCACTATAAGTAATAAATGACTAATACGTATAAATTACAATGCGTTAAAGATTTTCCGATCATCTGCTATGTTAAATTCATTATAGCAAGAGGACTCGAGACACTACTCCAGAGGACATAAGAAGTTACTTTTTCAAATATATTACAAAATAAATGATCAAGGGATGGGGAATGGGTGACAAAGTAAACTGACACCGCAGGAGGAGCCGAGCCGTCTATTGAACTAGCGCAGAAGGTGCCCCGCGGCAGTCGCTCCCGGGACACGTTAGACGGCTGTAGCTGTTGACCTGTGGACAGTAGTACCTTCGATAACTGATTTTTGTTCTGAAAACATCAATTATTTCACTTAAATATCATAAAAATAAGAACACTCATATTATATAAATTGTTTTCATTAATTTTATTATAATGCGTGTTTTGCTATTTGGTGACAATAAGTTTAAAATGTTGCAGGACTCTTCCGGTCTAACCTATAAGCGAGAGACAAACATAAACTGTATTAAAAAACTTCTCATTACACTCCAATCGTAAAGGCGACTTGGAAGGCCTTACTTAACTTTAAATACAGTATTGAAAGTTGAGTGCATTTTCGTTCAATCCAAAGTCAATGAAATCGTTATGTAAGTGTTGCTTTAGTTAGTCACACGGTTGACTCTCTGGACCATAAAGCTCTGTCGATGCACAAAGTAGCCCTTCTTTGGTTTAAACAAGAAACTATGCAGAAAGAAGAAAAATAATTTTAATGTAGGTAGGAGTTGCAAAGCAACTGTCACTGTTGGAATGATGGACATTGAATCTTCTAACCTGAAACATTTTAATCGAATATAGCTGTGTAAACTTATGTCACATCTCAAGTTCTGCACCATCCTATGGGATAAGTGCCTGATATATGTTTGCAAGTATAAATTGTGTATTGAAATCTGAATGACTACTAAAAAATAAAATAAAATAAAACCTGTGCATATTCTTCTCGAAAGACTTACATTCATGACACCCCATCCACGTCTGGTTGGATGCCCATTTTATAGCAGAAGGTTGCCAGGCCGATTGCTATTCTTTTCGCAGTGTTGCCTCACCGACAGAACACAGATATCATTCGTCAGTACATCTTCATTATATTGTGCGTGCAATTCCTTCATTTTGGTGCCGTGCATAAAATTTTAATGTAATAATTTCAATTAAAATAATATAATGGTTTAAGAAAGTTACGAATTTGTACAGAAACCTCGACTCGCTAGTTATTAAAACGATAAATTTTATATTCACGGTTTTATTGCAGAGTAGTAAATTTTAATGAGTAATTTTGCTAAATGTTCACTGAATGCAGTAACTTTGGTAGTAGATATTTTTTATGGTAAGTTTAAAAAATATTCCCCTTTATTATTTTTCTCTTCATTATTAGGATCGATGAAATATTCATTAAAGTTCTTTGTTTTTATATGTTTGGACCAAGTGATAAATTTAGCAATAGACATAATAACGCCCAATAGAGAGCAATTTCATATTATGTATTCAAATAATGAAGTTAATCGGGTATTACGCATATTGTTCATAACCTTTTGACAGAGCACAAACATATTTAATTAGATTTGTTTTTCATTTTTATTGTCATTTCTTATAATAAAGATTTAAATAATAAACATATAATAAAGATTTCAAAACATATTTTTGTATGTAACATATCTATTGTACTCGTACGATAAGTTTTGACGGAATCACTTTAGAGAATTGGCGAGCCAACGTGCCTCAACACACCCTCCTCCCCACCACCCGCTAAAGCGCGGAGAAGCAAATTGAAGAAGAAAAAGAAAATTTTAATCTAAAAACTATCTATTCAAAATATATTTTTATTATCTGTTAAAAAAATCGTTTTAAATTTTACGTGACCGACAGGGCCAAAATAACTTTATTTATTTGATTATTTTTTTATACAAATATATTATATATTAAATTTTTATAGGCATAATAGGCATCTTATAGTAAACAGTTGCACGCGTTCTTCCCACCGCGTCTAATTTAGTTTTATTATCAAATTGCCTAATTGTTATATAGCAATACAAGAATGACCAGGCAATGTGATAAATTATGAAGTTTAGATAGAAATTAATATAGCCCGATAGAGCTAGACATTATTTATAATGCTCGGTCATTATTAATAATGCTCGCATTAATCCCCTGCTCTTTAACATTAGTTTCTGAAGCTCTGTTAATAATACTATCGGTAAGTGTGCGCCCTCTACCACTATGGCAAACTAACGTAATAATAAACTCCACTCATCCTTGTCTAAAAAAAGTTTTAATAAAGAATTAATATTATAGCTATAACATACGATGTGATATATCAGACGACGGACGCGGAATGGACGGATTAGAATACGCAACTCAATTAAAAGTTATGACTCTATCACTCCGTTATAGACGGATAACTGCCTAATTGATTTTTGTGAATATTTTATAATCGATTAGACTTTTTTAATACAGCGAATCGTACGATGTTTGAAAATTATCTAGGTACTGTTACCAAGATATTACGTAGAACATTATGCGATGTGTTGACATAGAGTATATTATTGGGTCTACGAGTATATGAAAGACATTATAATTTATTAAAATCTCTTCCACATACATATCTCATTTAATGTTTGATCAAATATAATTGTTTGATCAAATATAATTATCCATACATGCATATAAAGGTCCCTTCTTAAAGCGATGTATTTTAAACAGCGCAGATTCCCTACGGAGGAACTGTATACGTTGTGCGATGTCCTATCAGTGAGAAAACTTTTTGTTTTACATGCGTTTTTAAACATAAATCATTGAATTATATCCCTGAAAAACAAAACAAAAGGAACAAAAATGTAGTTGTTCGTGCAAAACCGGTAAATACAGTATTTGCAAGCCGTCAATTTGATAAGTTATCTACACACTTATACAATAAATTAATAATATATACACATTGACTTCATATAATACTAAAAAAGTTCTAATTAAATTTCTAAAATTTTTAGATTATAATCATATTGAAAACCTACTGCAATAAATTAAATAGACTAAAAGTCTCTAATTTATACTGATTTTACTACTAAATTTAATTCTTTTTTTTTCAAGGCGAGTGTACTATGTAATAAGTAAAAATGAAAACAATTGTAATAAACGAAATATTAAATGTACCATGGAAGAGCGGACTATTTCTGGTACAGATATTTATTATATCTTAAAAGAAATAATCCATTACAAATGTTTACATTACAACCAGAATGGTTTTAAAATAAAACATTTTTATTTTTATTTCTCTCATATGACAGTCAAAATCACTGAAATGGATTCACTATTATAAAATGTCTTAATCATGCAGCTGTGATGTTTTATGATAGTTTTAATAAATAATTATAAATCCCTTGAATGCTATTATATTTGCCTTAAAAACTATTAACTAAAGTTCGTAAGTTTTAATTATAATTTAGCATCTGAAGAGCCTCCATGTTTAAAATTCATTCATTTTTATCGTTAAGGATCACGAAGCTCACTAAATACCAAATTTCAACCAAATCGGTTTAGTGATTTTGGAGACAATCATCTGTGACAGACAACCGAGTGAATTCTATAAGGGTGCTTTTTATGTCTTTTAAATGATATGCCTAGAAAAGAAGAATCAATTTTATTTCTTTCACGAACTTTATCTACGTACATACAATAATAAATAAATAAATCGTACAGCTTGTGAGAGGTTGATGCCTAACAGAGGTTTTGATAGGTCTCATCCCAAGCATATGTTGAATTCAAATAAATCATGGTTACCTGAGTTCAGTGATGATGATAGAAGATTAGCAAGAATAGTACTTTTTTGTTCACTTAAGTTTATGGAATAAAACAAGCTAATAAAGAAAACAATGTGTCATATTATGTCTAGGACTTATGAGTAATGTAATAAGTGTAATTATTTATGAATTAATATGTGTTTATTTAAGTTTTTTTTTGTAACTGTATAGATAAATAGATGTTATTGTGTAACTGCTTAAGTCAATCATTTGTGGTGTGTGAGTAGCTTTTTTGTTTCTTCATAATCTAGTGTCAGTAACCATTTTCTGACTGTTTACTTAGATTTTATTTTTGCAATGGGTAAATTTTGTTGTATATATAGGGTCCAAGATAGTAGTAATGATTTTGACATGTACTTTTATAAAGTGGTACACTGCAGACTTTGCTTTTCCTTCTTTTGTTATTTTTAAGTAAGATAGGGTTAAATGTCATTTCCGAATGTTTTTTTACTGTGATCTGTTGAATGTACAATTCTCTAACTTTGAAAACTTCCCAGGTCTCATACAGTTCGGTTGTAGGAAAAAGCTATGGTAAGGCTGCTAGTTTAAGTATGCACCATGTATGAGCCTTAGCATCATCCCAAGAAGTAATGCAGCAGCCAATGCCAGATTGACAAAGAGCGAAATAAAAAGATTTTAAAGTTTTACTATCGGCTGTATCCAAGTGTTTTGAAGATAAAAAATAACTTTCGTAATGTAGTCACTAGAGTATCAACGTGGTGTTTAAAGTTTAGAAGGTAGTCAAATTGAGATGTTACCTCTTATTTGAAGTCGGATAAAAACTAATTTCTATTTGTTATCAACTGTTTCAAATACAGCATGAGGTGTAGCTAACGATCAGCGGTGGTGTTCCTGAAGATTGTGTGATATGGCATTGATTTATGAGTGGTCGCAACACCCGCGGCACTGCCAGTGCCGGTGCCGGTCTCTAATGACTTAATTCTATGCTCCGCGGGCGCAGTGTGTTTTATCAAGGTACCAACATAACAATTCGACGACAGGGGAGCTTGTTTTGCCTCTTGATATTATATCTATTTAAAATAACTCGATTCCCCGGCATATAAATATAAAACTAGTAAACAACAATAATTTTAGAAATATTAAAGTAATTAATAGTAATGAGCAATAAAAATGCTTAAAAAACAAAGTTGTTTTTTTAACTGAAGAAGACTGAGTTTAAATAATTATGATTTTGATCAATAAAATTTATCCTGCGTGGCCATTGTGTATGACATATTTTGTCGTAACACAAGCTCGCATAAAAGAGTTGTTCAACAAACTCCTTCAACTAAACTGATTTGAGTGATGTAATTTTAATGATAATTGTGCCGGCCCTGCTCGGTGCAGTGAATTCCAAAAATATTTCTTTTTTTTTAATGATTTTGATGTTTGGCTGCGATTGTTAAAGGTAAACGTAATAATTCTACAAATGTTGATTGAACTTTAAACTGTCTAGTTTAGGTTTGAACATCTATACTAATATAGGCTCCGAAATTACTTGAATAGGCAGCTGCATCGTACGCAGTTAACGTAATTTACTAGTGTATTTCATCAAATAGGCATTCACAAATACATAAATGTATAATTGTTTGTAAAAATATAATTTAAATGTGAATAGTTTTATTTGACAGCTAAAAATATTTGACCTTTCAAAGTTATTTTAAATAGGTACATTTAATTGTTACAATTTGAGTTAAAGTTAAACTTTATTCAAATAGACTTCTTAAAAGTACTTTTGAATCGTCCAACATTTTTTTTCCTACCGCTCGTTCAGTACGTCTTTTGGCTGATAAGAAGAACGAGCAAGAAACTCACCAGCTCTAATAGGAGTAATGCCTTTTACAAAAACCATGCCATTACCAGATCAATACATTATAAATAAAGAGAAAAAAAAGCTACTATGGTTTTATAATGATAACATAATCATTTAATAATAATGGAAACAAGATAATTTTTGATATATAATGAGTTAAGAAGTAATCACCTATCCAGTTGCTGGATCATCTCAAGTCCAAGCATTCTTATCTGTTATATAATCTGATACCTTATAGTAACCTTTTTTAATAAGTATTATTTTAATAGTAGATTTAAACTGCATGATATCTAATTGTTGTATTTTGCTTGGGACCTTATTGTAGAAGCGCACACAAAGACCCCTCAATGAGTTATTAACTTTTTGTAGTCTAGTGACAGGCACCGTTAATTTATTTTTATTTCTTGTATTAATATTGTGTACATCACTTTTTATAGAAAACAAACCAATATTGTTACGAACGTACATTAAGTTCTCGTATATGTATTGAGAAGCAACAGTCATT